CAAACGAAATTAGGAATGAAAAATATGAAAATATCGAATGGAACAACTAAACGATACGATTTATTTATTGGAGCCTGTTACAGACAGCAATTTTTGCTACAAACTCATTTTATGTCTTTTAATGATTCGAATTATAAAAATAATGAGAATAAACAAAAAAGAAAAATGAAAAAGGAGAAATGGCAAAAAAAAAAAAAAGAAAAAAAAGAATGGGATAAAAATTTAGAAAATTCTTTTCTATTTTTAGGAATCTCTCTATATATCACTTAATGTGTTTCATTTAATTCTACTATAGTTCAGTTTTAAAAATGGATTAATTTGAGTTCAATCAACCTTTAATCAAACCAATAAATTGAATTTAAAGTGACATAAGCTTCTTAAATCTGCCAGTTAGCATTTAATCGAAACCAGCAAATCGTTGTTCATATTTCATTTCATAGGTTGCTTCAAAATGCTAACTTGACCTTTCAACCACAGAGAAAAAATTTTTTCATTCCGATAATTTAATTCAAATTGCTGTTTTCATAATACACAGGACAATGCTTATTGTTAGATTTTTGACATGTTTTGGTGATCTCACGTTAGCTTCATTAATTAAATTTTAGGTACACGTCTGATGTCACATGTCACTTCAAACTACTCACTTTTTTTTGCAACAATTATATTCCTTCCATCATTTAACATTTGACAACCTGTTACCACTACCTTTTTTTCCCAATTTAAAACGAAAAATTTCAAACCCACTGTTAAATATTAATTAACCACCTTTAATATTCCTTTCTTCAACAATCAAATCGAATTAAACGATATCATTGCAAGCTTGAATTTATTGAAGGAATTTCAAATGTATTGGTGACTAATTAAATCCATGTAGTGGACATTGTCCACTCTTCCAGTCTATGATCATGTACTTTATCACTTATATATGAATTTGCAATTTCATTCAAGTTTTATGACCATTTACGCAGTATATTCGTTTCTATGACCCATCATCTGAATTTTCGTTTTTATTTCTGACAATGCACGTAGCACAAACACACTTAAAAATAAATATATACGTACAGACATGCATAACTGCATGCACTGCATGCATTACGCCATACGTATTAAACATATGCACTATGCACACACACACATATATATATATGCATTACGTGTTACACACGTGACCACGTAAACACATACACGTCGTGCAAGTTAGCATCCGTCATGTGGATGGACGAATGTTGAAATGAATTTGCCAAATGAAAAGGTATGATGTGGTGGGATTGAGATTTGTACAGTAGTCGATCAAGTTGATACAAGATCACGCGGGGGAACTTGAATTACGGTATTGAGATGGAAAGGTATATATTGTCTTAATTTATGTATATTTAGTTGGGAAAGTTACTTTAACACTTTTGTGCCTGAGTATAACATTTATCTTGAAGTATTTTAAAATTATTTGATCTGATAGACTGAATATTATTTCCATTTGGAAAGTTAGATATCACAAACTGTTCGATAGCGGGAATTATTGGCATCGAGGAAGGGACGAGAATGATTGATAAAATAATTGAAAATTTATATCTGAGTAATGTACAAGATGTTCTGGATGAATCTAGGGTTGATCGACTTAAAAATGAATTAAAGGTTTTCAATTTTCCTTATCCTATAAATTTGTTCATTTTAAATTTCACAAAGTTTTTCTGTTTGCAAAATTGAATTTTTCTTTTTGTTGGTCTTTCCAAATTAAAAAGTTCCTTCTATAATTTTGGAGGAAATACTTCCACAACTTTTGCATATAATTCCTTCACACTTCCTAAAGATTATAATACTAACAATTTTTGAATTTCAAAATCTTTCGGTAAATGTTGTGTTTCAGATCACCCATGTTCTTACGGTAACAGCAGAAAGTATTCCGGTGGAAAAGCAAATTGTTGGGATATCTTATAGGTTTATTTTTGCTCTGGATATGGATACACAAGATATGTTCGCGGGAGATTTGTTAGGTACCCTCTTTGAACATTCATTTCATTTCC